CTTCATCACAATAATGCATGACATGGTTGGCTATATATTTCGAAACAAACATTAGGAACCCAACCATCTTGTCTGCATTAACATCAACCCATGGAGGTGAAAATCCCCAGTTACAAAAAAAAATACAATGATTCTTCTTTGAAGAACATAATATGAACAAAAAATGGAATTCTGTGAAATGCCAGAAAAACTTGTGTCTGAATTGGGAAGTTGATACTATAAAAGGAATCATTGTACTCCTGACAGGATTTTTCACCTGAGATAAAATGGAAAGAATTGTCATAAATGGCCTGAAAATTATCAGGCAAAGTGTGGCCCACAAACTTGACAATGCCCTTATGTTGCCTAATGATGGCCATTATCAATAACACTGTCGGAATGACCTTCACAGCTTATCTGCATACTAACGTAAACAAACATGGTGTCTGTATCGGAACAGTTCTGTGCCTCATGTGACTGACTGAGCGCCTCACAGGTCAGCTAATCATATATGGGTCAATGAGGTCCCTTGCAAATATTTTGGAGGAAACAGTAGCAACCTTGATGAGTAAACACTAGCAAGAATGCCAGTGGAGGGTAAAGCGAACACTTCTGTGAAGTGCCGCGTTCACTCATTATTCTGATACTCTAAACTTCCTTGCAGATGACAGTATCAATCATTGCACTGTCAATCATTCCCACATTAATTCTAAACTCCATCAAACACTGAAAATTTATTTTCGATGAGCTTACCAAACTGTCCACTGATGTAGGTGGAATCGAAGGCCAAAGTCGAATGACGTCATGTGACTTACTTAAAAAAATAGAGATGTAATGCAGCGTTGAGGCATGATGTTGGTTTGGGATTATCAACATGGGGACAAATTCTTTCCATTTTAGCGATAATATCAGAAACACTAATGTCTAGAGCCTTGTCATTTGCATGACTGTTAACAACCTCCTTGTGGCAACCCGTTATCAAGCTCTCTTTCAAAACATCACTATATCAGGCGACACAACATGATCTAGGGGAGATAATTCAGCATAGCTTATGAACAAATTATGACCTGTTAATTCAAGACCATGCTATCTACAATAGCAGATACAGTTTCTAGACTAATAATTAGTCCCAGAAATAAAATTAATTTTTTAATTAAAAAAATATATCTACAAAATAAAAAATTACAATCGAAATGGAGCCCAGAAAAAAGCTTAATTTCTGAGGCAATCTAGACTTGCCAGATATTCTAGACTTGGGTTGGATTCATTTTCTAATTTATTCTCTAGGCTACAGACTAACAGATTCCATGATAAAGGACAACAGTGCTTGCTTGAATAACAAGAATCTATGAAATCAAGAATATATTTTAGACTATTTTTTTTACAAAAATATATACTTTTAAGGCATCTGCCCATTAATATTCATGTCAAAGCTGACAGACTGTTAGACACATATATAAGCTACAGTAGTCTTAGTTCTCAGGTTAGTCTGCATCAAGCAAACATCATTCTATGAGAACTCTGATACTTATGGCATATTTGGTGTCACAACAATAACAGAAAAATGCCTGTGTCAACTTACTTAGGGGTATGTGTATCAATTTGGAATCCTTTTCAGGTTTTTTAGAAGATACTGTAATCAGTAAACTACGGTTATAACGAAAACGCTTATAACGAACTGACCAATATAATGAACTTACTTGTTAGCCCCAGCCATGTGATGCATATATGCTGTATATATGCTTATAACGAACTACGGTTATTACCAACTAAAATGGTTGGTCCCTTTGAGTTCGTTATAACCGTAGTTTACTGTAGTATCACCCAATAGCAAATTGAAATACACTGATGAAAACATAACCTGGTCAATAGTTTTGAGAACCATTATGACATGGTGATCTGTATGAAAAACAGTATTGCGGGATCCTTGCAAAATTTCACAGTCAAACTCCTGCTGTAATTTCTTCAACATAGTGTGTGGGTGGTTGAGAGTCTATTTAATCAAATCTTACTTCAAGTTTAAATTTGGCAGGAATTGGAAAATTATGTTAAGTTTTTATTGACTCTTCCACAGCATTCCTAGTGCAGCCATCATTTATAGGGATTACATCACAATCATCAGCTCTAACTTCCTTCTGTATATACTAGTCAAAAGAAGTTAAAGAACACCATTTTTTAATATGACCGTAGTTAATCTGTCATGGCTAGTGAAAGACCAGCTCACTAGTCACTGCATTAATCTAGGTGGGTGGTCAGATCATGACAATGTTTCAGTAGTTGATGGTGAATGTTTCAGGCTCTAAAGGCGTTAACACTGAAACAATAAGTACAGTTGTACAACTGTTTGTATCAATAAAATATATAGCAATAAACCAGATCTCAGTCAAACTTTGTTAATCATGTGACATTAAGCTACCCAGACACCAGACGTGATGGGCAAAAATTGTGAAATTTGTGAAGCAATGAAGAGACAATTCACAGGAGATATAGTTCAGTAAACAAAATATAATAAATGTAGCTTAGTTGATGACAACTGATAAAGATGCCATTTGTCTGCCATCATTACAGAGTGATGAAACACTGCTTCACAGACTTGTCAGTCATAAATACAGATGCAAGAATACAGGTTTGTCCACAACAAGTGTGTACCATAAATTATATTTGTGTAGCAACAGACAATGTGTTTAGCAACCAAAATGCTGATTTGAAAACACAAAAGTACAAATATGTCATATATCTAAATAAATACAATTTGAGAAATATTCTGATTAAATTTGTAGAAAAATATTCTTAGGAGTACACACATATCCATGATATGAATCTTTATGTTTTTTCTTCTGATATAAGTTTATTAAACGTTTTGCCATATTTTCAAATTGTTTCATGTTATACCATAAAGCCTTGTCAAAAAGGCTTTTCAAAATGTTATTTTCTAGTACCCTGTACTGATACAAAAATGTCATCACATGATTTTCAAATTAAAAACATGTATCACAACATCTAAAGGCAAGACTTTACAAGAATTGCCTTAAGGATTCCACCTGTTTTGAATACTGTATTTGACGTAATAAGCACCCCGCTCTAATAAGCACCCATGGCGAAATTTGCTAATATATTGGCTAGTGAACAATCCCAATTAGCAACCCTTCCAATTGATCAATGTACACAAGACCTATTTATTCTCGTATAATACACATTTGTGTGTTATATGCACCCTTAATTATGGGGAATTTAATTCTGGAAAAATATTTCTGTCGTACATAAACATTTCAGGCTATCAGCATAAACCAAGAAATTTATCTTTCAACTCTGTTTCTTTCACCAAAACAATATTCTAATGAGAGCCCCCTATTCCTAATTTTGAGAGCGCTCTGGGCGCTTATTATGTCGAATACAGTAACAAATAATTGTGTCATGGCACTGTAGCTCGCCTGGAAAAGTTTCAATGTCAACAAAGACAGCCACTTATTAGTAGTCAGCACTGATATTCATATAAACACCAAAAAACAAACAAATTCAGAGTCACACATCTTCCCGAGGCAAGGGAGTTAACTGACTGTAAAAGTCATGTTTCCTTGCTGAACAAGGCTGCAATTATGGAGTTATATTTTGGCTAGATTAATGATTCTATGTATCATGATGTATAGTCCAATCAAAATCGTGTTACGAACTCGACATCTGGTTTCATAAACATGGATTTCAACATGCAGATTTTGGTCGACTGCAGGATTTGCAAAAGATATGTACCGTCAACTGGGCGTCAATAGATATTTTCCAAATCTTTTCATGTTTTTAATCAAGGTGCTCAAGTGATTTGATGCTATTTGCGAGGTAAGACCCGTTTTATTACAATATATATCTTGATTATCGATCATAACATCTTGACTGGGTGCCGCCATTTTGTTTGAAGCAAATGCAAGTAATATGAGAGATGGAATCTGATTGGCCAAAAGGAGGGGCATAGAAGGAACATATCTCATCATATCTACTGGTGGCACTCAATGGAGCCCAGGAATTCCAGTCTTGTTCTGGTGAAAACTGGTCTTTTAGAGTCAGTTAACTCCCTTGCTTCGGGAAGATGGAAGTCACAAGGGGCAGCTCTGTCAGTCTGGCAATTTCAGAGATGTGTAAATAGCCAAATATGCATTTTGAGAGAATATAGGAGTGCAAAGGTCAAATAAAGCTCAAAATTCAGAATATCATAAAGAATATATATTTGAGCCCCGCCAAGATAGGCGGAGTAATAGACATGAGATTTTTCAACTTTCAGTATGGTCAAAGTGCAAAGATCTAATTAAGGTCAAAATTTAAATATTGCAAAAAGCAGAACATATATTTGAGCCCCACTACTTTTACTAACTACACATGCAGCAAATTTCGACACATTATGATCGAAAATGGCTGAGTAATGGCCTAAAATACTTTTTTAAATATGTCCGTCCCATTGAAAATCAGATTCGAACCTCTTGAATAAATTGGTGCGTCATCATTGGTGGGAACTAGGGCGTGCAGCTTAAGCTATGGCCTAGTGGTTGAGGGGATGTTCACGATGCATGATGGACAAACAGGCCACTATCTAGGCTCACTTGACTTTCAGCCAGGTGAGCTAAAAATATACTGAAATATTTTCCTTAGTTCCGTTTTCCCCTCCAGTACCAGATTTTTTACAAACACAGCAGTGTAGAAGTGGTATGTAACTGGCAAGTAGCTATTATCATAATAGGTTTTGTTTCATCAATGTTTGAGAACTGCTTGATGTCTGACAGCAAATTTTACTCAGTGTTCCCGTTGGCTTTTGAAACTGCCAGTCCTTGTGGACTGGCGACTCTAAAAATTACCAGTCCCCCCTAATTTTTACCAGTGCCAACTTTCAACAAATAAAGTAACGTAGGAAAATTATTTGTTTTTAATTCATTCAACATCATGTTCAGTGCAAAGATGTCATCTCTGAAGTAACTTAGATCCGTATGTCATTCACACAAACTTCAGTCACAATTTAATTTTCTCTTCTTTTTTTAGAAAATATTTCGAGATGAAGTCGCTACAAATGGATATTTAACCTAGAAAAAGACCAGGGGAAACCCTGATGGTAACAAACAGAAGGTACTTGTATGAATATCACCGATGTTTTGTTCAACAAGATTTATATGGTACTTTATTTACTGGCCCACAGGGACTGGCAGTCCCATGAATTACTGGGTCAAGCCTAATTTTAAAGGGTAAAAAACTGGTAATTACCAGTATACGGGAACGCTGTTACTTGATAAGCACCCCTGTGCAGTCTTTGTAAGTGCCAAGAGCACTTATTTTGGAAGTTGTACAAAGTGATCTTATCAGCATACATTTGGTTTAGATATAGCTTCATCTACTGTGCACCTTAAGTGGAATGACATGTGAGCAATCAAATACATTTACAAATCATTTGACCCCAAACAGTAACTGAACAATGTTCTTCAATCTGCGTGATGTACTCAACTAACATGATTCTTATCACAGAACAGATAAATGTTTGATATTGTAAGATTCATAAGCCGCATGAAATGAACAACACTCATCTCTATCCTCATCATCATAAACAAACTAACTGCAGATCTAAGTATGTGTCCGTGTAGTCCCTGTATACAGAATAAATGCATTATGGACAAGATCACTTCCACCAACGCTAATAATTACCCACCCAGCAAGATCCACCTGACCTATAAGATCCACCCATCCTACAAGATCCACCCACCCTCCAAGATCCACCACAACTACTGCCCTACATCATGTGTACATGTATATCACTGGGTCAACAATAATATCTTTATATAAATATGAAAAAATCGTTGGGTGTTAACTCTTCAAATGATACTTTTGGTTACAGATGAGCAAATGACGAATATTTATGAGTAGGTGGCATCAGGACTAGACATGATAGTTGTGACTTTCGTTCAAACTGGTTCAGGCTTGGGGAAGACTGGTCCCGAACCTGGTTCTGGTATAATAGCTGAATGCCCATTGGTGAGGCTACTGCTGGTAGGATGGTGATACATGGATCTAGACAAGTAATGAGAGAAATCTGCCTTGGATGCGGGGCGAAGGGTTTGCTGCAGCACTGTCTTGACTATGGAAGGTTCAGATCTGTGCGAGAGTGTGGAGTGGTGGGTGGAGGTGGCTGGGCGGCCAGAGTTACTGGACACAGCGGTCCCGTGTCCAGAAGTCAACTGTCTCAGGTAACTCGATCCTCCCCGTGCTGCGATGCTGCTGTAAGAATATAGTCCTTCTCTTTTGGTCACACCTGGTGAAAGACGTGAATATTTCGTTGTACTGCTTTCGGATGTGGCGTTGGGGATGATGTGAATAGGATACACTGACTTGGCTATCCCAGATGGAGTGCTGGATTTTGTGGGTGGTATTTTGTCTTGATTCTTGTTCTGGGCTGGGCCATCGTCAGGGATGTCTGTGACGGGAGGCGCCCTGGAAGTGTGGGCGGTGACTGTGACTGGTCCCCCACCCAGGAGAGCCTGTGGGGTGAGGGAGATGTTGAGGGTGATATTGGTTGACTCTTGCAGACTTTCTAACTTAGTCTTGTCTGGGCTAAGGTCAAGGACATCAGAATCATGACTTCTCTTGCGGGACAGCAGTTGACTGACACTCTGCATCCCTCGTCCATCCTCTCGGCAGACTATCTCACCTGTAAATACAAGATTAGCTGTTGATTAGGGCTGTGTATTGGCAAAACAATTGTATTGCAATATACTGTGATCGATCTGACACCGATCGTACACGCAGATCCTATTTTGTACCTTCTAAAATTAATATTACAATGTCAAAAGTCAACATGGTCAGACGCCACCATTTTGTAGTCATAGATACAGGGGAGATAAGAATGTGAGGGAAAATCACTTCCGCGTTTCCGCCATTTTGTCAGTTCATGTCAAAGGGAAACATAATTTGTGAATGAATTTCTGTTTAGAATTAAGGTTAAACGATACAAATAATCATGATAATACAAATAATCATGATAATACAGGAGTTGTAATAATTTTTTTACCCAATATACCGGAACACAGGTAAAATAATGCAATATGTATTGTTTGAAAAGCGTATAGCAGTATACCATGCAGTATAGTACTGAGGGTAGATATTAGCCATGACAACTTCACAAGGTATGTGTATTACACACAGCTATAAAAACTAACATATTTCGTCCACTAGTCCTTATAATAACGTATAGCAAAACCCTTAAAAATGGCAAATTTCTACTTGTCCTTATGATAACTAAACTATTGGGTAGTTTGACAGGAACTATAGGACTAGTGCCAATTTCTATCGCTGACATATACCGTATTCGACGTAACAAGCGCCCCGCTCTAATAAGCGCCCACGGCGAGATTTGCTAATATATTGGCTAGTGAACAATCCCAATTAGCACCTCTTCCGAACCCTATTCCCTTATAGTACATACCCCTTCCTTCTCCTATTCGCGTATAATACGCACTCGTGTATTATATGCACCCTTTATTATTGGCAATGAAATTCTGGAAAAATATATCTGTCGTACATAAACATTTCAGGCGGTCAACATAAACCACGAAATTTATCTTTCAACTCTGTGTTTTTCACCAAAATAATATTCTAATAAGAGCCCCCGATTTCTAATTTTGAGAGCGCCCTGGGCGCTTATTACCTCGAATACGGTAATCAGAATGCAGGGTTGTGAGAATAATATGCACATGAACTTGCTTTGAGTCAAGCAACCTGTGAAGATATACTAGATTGATGACATAAAACCAAACAGTACCTGTTGCAGTGTCGCGACCAATCTTCATTTTCTTCAACCACTGGTCAAACGCTACCAGATCCAAAATATCCATCCTTTGCAAAATCCCAGAGAGCTGATGTTTAGCTGTAGCTAAATCAATATCATCAGTGTGCTCTGAATGGTGAGGTTCTGAAAGAAAAGAAAACATATCCAGTGTTAAAAAGTAAGAATAAACATCAAGGTGTCCTTTCCATTACAATGACCATCCTACGATGATTACCGTAATGTCTAAACTAAAGTCTCAGATGGTCCTTAGATTCTTCAATAGTCTAACAACAAACCCAGGGAAGGATCCCTATATAAATTCTAACACTGCCTATTATAACATCACATCATTATCATGATTATATTAAACAGAGCAAGCAATCAGATGACCCGTACAAAGTCGCTATTTTGACCATTTTTATAACAGACTTGAACATTACAACTTACAACAATGTACACGAACAACCTAAGAATCTTTCATGTTTTATTTTATGTCCTCACTGACGAATATCTATGGGATAGCACTGGCACTATACACGGCTACAGCTCACATAATTGTATATTATTAGAATTATTAGGCAAGAAAAACAAAACTGGTATACAGATTCCACGGACACTAAAATAGTTATTATATAAAGTGGAAAATAATTCTGAAAAAGCAAATTTATGTGCTCATCGCAAACGAACTGTGAGTGAGTGAGTGAGTGAGTGAGTGAGTGAGTGAGTGAGTGAGTGAGTGAGTGAGTGAGTGAGTGAGTGAGTGAGTGAGTGAGTGAGTGAGTGAGTATGGTTTCACGCCACTTTTAGTAATATTCCAGTAATATCACGGCTTCACACATTGTACCCACGTCGGGCAAACGAACTGTGCATATCACAGATCAGACTGCAAGACATATATGGCTAGCAGAAACTTCCAAGTCCAACATATTTCTAAGTTCAAAACATAAAAAAGGCAAAAAGATTTCTTATTGAAAACAAACTTTGCACTGGCCCTCTCTTTCAGTATAGAAACTGTACCCCAAATTGGGAAAGAATCCATGAAGTTGTTTTCAAGTAAGAGGCCACACAAATGTTTAAGTAAAATAATATACTACGTTCAAATCATGAAAAAAATCATACTTTTTCAGCAAATACACATATTAAAATTAAACTATGCACTGCACCTCTTATATTGGTATAGACACTGTTCCCTAAATTTGAAAAGAATCCATGTAGTAGTTTTCAAGTGATACATTGCACAAATGTTTAAGTAAAAACATTCTAAGCAAAATAAATGAAAAAAAGCTGTATTTTTTCAGAAAATCCAAACACTGAAATCAAACTTTGCATTGCACCTTTCATATAGGTATAAAAAGTGTTCACCAAGTGAAAAGAATCTATTTAGTAGTTTTCAAGTTATAGGTCGCACAAAAAATGTCCTTGGAAGGACGGACAGAATTCCTTGGAATAACTATTTACTAGGGGTGTAACGATACAGCAAGGTCATGATATGATACGTATCATGATACATAGGTCAAGACACGATGTGTATCAAATGAGCAGGTTCAAAAGTATAAGTTTGCTGTAGACACATGTTCGTTGTGGCTATTTTTAGTAGTGAACTTAAACATGTTAAAACGCTAATTACAACACATTCTGCGATATCCGACTGACAAAAATGTTTCATCACATGAAAACTCATGATGCACCGGTGGACCGACGTATTTATTCACCCCTACTATATAACCACGCCCTTTTAGTTTGGGGGTATTAAAATCAATGCATCTGTGTCAGAACAGATATATACATGATATAAAAGTTTATTGATGATTTGTGTTACTTTCAATTAAAACAGAGAGAAACCAAGGTAACATACAGCTTTGAACCATTTGAGCTAGATGACCCATACCCAAAAAAGAGAATCTGTACCCAATGAAAAAATATATGGTTTGAAACATGAAACATTAATCATGTTTTCAGCTACTAAGACATTGATTGTTTTGGTTTCATAACAAGAACACATGAGGACTCCAATCACATGATCAGCAGCTGTGTAAACTTTTTGTTACACCGTCCGGCTTCCAAGACCTTGATAGTTTACATACTACGGTAAATCAACAACATGCCACCACAGCCAACTGAGTTAACTCAAATCTATTTAATCCTAATGTTACTGGTATATTAAAGAGGTAAAATGATTGTTTAGAAGTCATTCATTGTCACTTTGCATTGAGTTGATTGACTGATCGTTCATTCACCAACTAATGAATGAATGTTTGAAATGTATAATGAATAAATGTTGGAATGGAAATGTGAAATCAGTGAATATTTGAAATGTAAAATGATTGAATTTTGGAAATGTAATAGAGCTATGAATAAATTGCTATGAACATGATGAACTTGCAGATGAGAATATATGAGAATTTACTGCAGAAAAAGCAATTACAAACATATTTTAAAATTTTTTTTTATAGTCTATACCGGTTAAGGCAATCCCGTTTTGGAAACATTGCTTCAAAAGATAAACGGGTACGAGTCATCCAAAATTCGGTAAGGGTCTTCCAAATTTGGGTATGAGTCAGCCAAATAAACATGATAAAGTACAAATGCTCCAATACATCATGATACATGTACAAATCTGACGAGAATATTAGGTACGGGTTAGCCATTTTGAATTATTTTCGCTTGGTACAATTCTCCATGGGTACGGAAAGTCGGGTAACAAGTCATGCTAGCTGCATAAAATCACACAGATTACAACCACTAGTCCATTGGTCAGAGACTAGTAACAATCTATACGGACTGGTTGTCTTATCCAAAAGTAAATTTATTTTTCTGTACATACTGCATGTACTGTATTCGACGTAATAAGTGCCCCGCTCTAATAAGCGCCCATGGCGATATTTGCTAATATATTGGCTATCAATCCCAATTAGCACACCTTCCGATTGATCAATGTACACAAGACTTATTTATTTGTGTATAATACACACTCGTGTGTTATATGCACCCTTAATTATGGGCAATTAAATTCTGGAATAATATATCTGTCGTATACAATTTAATCATTTCAGGCTGTCAGCATAAACCATGAAATTTATGATCTTTCAACTCTGTTTTTTTCACCAAAATAATATACTAATAAGAGCCCACTATTTCTAATTTTGAGTACGCCCTGGGCGCTTATTACGTCGAATACGGAAACTACTATTCTGAGCTGTGAACCAATGGGATACCCCTGGATCACTTGAGATTATGGTCCATGTTTATGCGGCAATAATTCAACTTGGAACAGTCTGAACTGTGTTCAACAATGTAGGCTACTAACATGTTTAGATACTTTCTTAAAATGCTCATCATTATCATGTTTATGTGTTCCCAATATTTACATAATTCTGAAAAATATATGGAAAGTATGCAAACCCTCTTAGCATTGGTTAGCATGGTTTGCATGCAAACAGTATCCTAATCTACTTACCATAATAACATAGCCTAAAGTTGAAAGTCATTACTAGTGTTAATGCATTTGTGCCTGATACTATCTAAAACAATGCAAAATATTACAACAAACATGAGTGGTTATATCACATGTACATGGAAGAAGAGAAAATAACTTACCGTTAGCAATGTTATCATCAGTGGAGTATCCTGACACAGTTCCATGGCAGTTGTCCTGTTGGTCAGCAACATCATCTACTATTTCTTCATTAAATGAGAGGGACTGATGGGACAGGCTATCACTAGAGTCCAGTTCAGAATCTGGTTGTGCAATCACATGGTATGCCAGAACATCAGACACCTTACTGTCTTGTCGACTGTAGCTGTCATTCTGGCTTGTGTTCAATTCTCCCTCGTCATTATCAACTGATGAGGCATTTGTAGAGTCACAGTTTGAGTCTCCATCACCTGTTACAACAGCAGTACCCTCTGACGGGGCAACTTGGGCAGCCATTCCTGTTAGGTCACGAATCTGTCTCACCATCTCATTAAGCTTGTTCATACCTAGAGCACAAGGGCGATACCATGACTGAGCAGGGGCAGGTTGATTCACATTTACACCCAGGTAAAATGGAGAGTATCTGTGATTGGCAGCAATAGGTCTTTTTTCTGCATATAATTTGTACAAAGCTACAGGATCCTGTTCTGGTATCTCCGGCTTGCTCCATATCATCTGCCGGGCTTGACGCAAGTGACTGTTTGCTGTTCTGTGCAGCATTTGTGGAGAAAATGCAAGATATTCCCTCCCAGACTCCTCTTCTACTCCTAACATTATGTCTCCCCACAACAATTTCTTGTGTTCTGTTGCTTTTCTCATTTTTAAATTCACAACAAAAACAAAGCACAGAGAAAATAGCACTGACACAGGGGTGTAAGGTCCAAATTCTTGAGATTTGCATAACTGTGACAATCTCTGTTCCATGACATGTGATGTTGATGATATCTGTGACTTCACACCTTTACCCATTTGTTTCAACATTTGTTGCTTGAGCTTCAAGGCAGCTCTTGTCTTTGCAAAGTGAATATCTCTGGTCAAAGATGTTGGGTAACATTTTAGTTTCAGGTACCGCTCAATGCTAGCCAGCATTGCCCTTAAGCTGCAGGGCTCATACTCCGCTCCATCAAACTTTCTTACAACCATGAAGAAGGAGGACAGGTATTTATCAAGTTCTATAGGTGGGATGCATTCTGGTGGGCGCTTTTCATTCAAAGATTTTAAGTAGCTAACAAGAATTTTCATATCTGCACCAGTTTTCCTGTTTGTATTTTTATTTTCCATGAGAAAATTAGATTCTTCAGGTGTTGGTATGCGTAACATGCTTGAATGCATGGTTTCGGACCCTCCGTTTCCCGAACTCGAGCCCGGTACCATGTAAATATCATCACGATCTTCGTTATCAATATCAGCGTCTTCCACGTTCTCTTCGCCGATTCCTGCCTCATGGTGCACATCTGAACCCGCGACCGCTGACTTCTTCTCATCATTAGTTGATTCTTCACTTTCCTTGCTGGTGGGGTCCATTTCTTAAACATGAAAACACAACATCACTACTAAAGTCATAATCAACACAATCTTATTCAATGATTGACAGCCATGATACCGGAAGCCACCTGGTGTCGGTAAACATGGGAAGAAAGACAACTCTATAACGCAAGAGTTTGCTCACCGAGAAAAAAGAATTTGTTTCTTTAGTTCCAGAATCTATTGTTTTAACATAAAGGACATCGCTTGAATCCAATAAAGAGTTAGGGAACGCTGGATATTCCTGCGCCTGTTATGATAAACTGGTCTCGTGTCGACTACTTCAGAGAATTTATCAGTCGAATACTGCCTTATCGGAATGTTCCACGATATATGAGAACAAGAGGTTTGATATACAGCTGTTACTAAAGTTAACCAACAGCCGCAAAGGGAATTATCAGGAGTGTGATACGACTAGTTATCTACCGAATTCAGTTATTTTGGGAAACGACCGTGAGAGTGAAATATCCGTTTCCTTATGCTCTCGGTCTTGTCATATCTGGGTTACCTCTCGCCAATTCTACTGCGTACTTTGAAATGAAGCTAGTTATTAATCAGTAACAAATAACCAACATCTTTGTCCTATGTGTCTAGGAAGTCAGTCAGAAGGTATCTCACACATTTATCCGAAAGGTACAAAAGAAATCCAGTACGTAAAAAAAACATTATTTGATAAAGAAATCGTTATGTATTTACGTTTCATCAAATTGCGTGATAACCTATAATAAGTTAAGGTTTTACTAACTATTTTTACCTTTGAGAAAAGTAAGAATTTAAAAACTGTTTTTGTTTATTAGCGGGCGAATCGGAAAACGAAAATATATTGGATGTCATTTTGGGATAAGATTGTCCCACGTTCATCCTTTAGCCTATAACATCTTGCCTACGTGCACATATTATCTAACTGTAACACGCTGTTCACTGTTTTCGTTTCTTGACATTGACCAGTTCTAGATATTACATACATCTGTTGAGTTCTCGTCCTTTACTCAGCACACGGGGCTGAATGGTCATCTATATCACGTCTACATCACCAGAGGTTAAAGTGGTAGTCTTATTTTGAGACAAAGGGAAACATGTCAAACATTATGCGATAGTGAAGGATATAGTGACCACTGTAGGTTTAAGGGCACAACAGACGCTGTGCTATCTTTGGGACTGGACAATTTGGATGGAGTGAGGAACGCAAGATCACCAGTAATGAAACATCCATATTTATTTAGGGGAGGATCTTAGAAAATTAGGAAATAATTTTGTTAATATATTTAAAGCAAAGAAACAAAAGGTTTGCATTGTTAGACGGGAGATGCTGGCACTACTAGAGGGGGTGGGGCTGGGGCTGGGGGTGGGCGGTGTTAAGCTGCGGGGTTATGAATTCAGATTCCTAAATTAGCACCCTCCAACAATAAATGATCGATCCCATTTTACCTTTACATCCGGAGTTCAAAGCTGCAGACTGCCAAGCATGTGCTCCTGGTTCTATTGACTGTAGTACAAATAACATTCACCCACATGTTAATGGCGCCAGCAGTATACAAGCAATATATATAATCAGTTATTTTTACAAACAGTCTTTCAAATATATTGAAAAAATAACAGCAGTGTTAACTAACCGCCCCTAGTGTGTGATAGTGATTGCGCAATAGCACCGTTTAGCGTTGTGTCATGTGGCTTGGTCAGTAAAAGGTATATCAAACGCTATCTGTCATTACAGGTGTGCCTGTGTACAATTGTCAACATTGTGATTATATTGTGTTGAGTAAAATAAACAACGCTAACAGACCACGGTGATGCACAGGATGGCGTCACATAGACAAGATACGTGCACAACTCAAGAGATAAGCAGATCCACACTATAGAGACGTTTATAGCACACATACGTAAACTGAATGATCAACGCTTAGAGTTTTTTGTTTGTTTGTTTGTTGTTTAACGCCGCACTCAGCAATATTCCAGCTATATGACGGCGGTCTGTAAATAATCGAGTCTGGACCAGACAATCCAGTGACCGACATCATGAGCATCGATCCACGCAATTGGGATGCAATGACATGCATTAACCAAGTCAGCGAGCCTGACCACCCGATACACTTACGAACAGCTTGGGTGCTGGGGACCAATATTCTTACCCAGAATCCCCATGTGTTAGTCAATTGCCTTTTCTAATAACGAGGGGCGGTCGGGTAGCCTAGTGGTAAAAGCGTTCGCTCGTCACGCTGAAGACCCGGGTTCGATTCCCGACATGGGTACAATGTGTGAAGCCCATTTCTGGTGTCCCCCGCCGTGATATTGCTGGAATATTGCTAAAAGCGGCGTAAAACCAAACTCACTCACTCTAATAACGAAAGTGTATAACAGCTCAATGACAATAATAATTCCATAAGGCATTAATGACACGTAGTACAAATACAGTAATTGATTTTATTTCAAAATGCAATAAAACAACTTTGCAGTACTACCAAGAAGGAAGCGACGGGAGCAACCGCAATAATCAAACATGCAAACCCGAAAGGGGAGACAACCGCAGGTGAAAATGAAAAACCAACCACGTATCTACACACTCCGATGGGATCGGATTACACTAATACTCTAAACGTACTGTATGGCTTAACCCTTCGGACAGTTTATTATATATTTTGTTCAAGAAAATGCTAATGATACGTTCAAGTCAGACTGTTAAAAAACAGGCGGACTAAAGACTAGACTACATAACAGACATATCATTTGTCACCATCGGCTATAGTTACTGTGGCTATATGGTTGAAACAATGCCGATGCGATGTTTAATTTTAACTAACTCACTCACATCTACTTTTGTGGAACGTAGATTATGTAGAACTAGTTTCGTGAGTCAATCTATTAATATAAATCATATTCTAGAGTATTTTGTGCTTCCTTCGTGCGTCTGTAATTCAACTGTATTAATTTGACATGATTTTAATTTGGACACCATTCATAGAAAGTTGGAATTCTCAGTTCAATACTTGAAATGCACATGATCTCAATTGGAATGAGTCAGTAAGGTAAACATTGAAACAACGTCAATGATTCCTCAAGTATAAAGTCAATATGTTTGACCAAAAGCCGACTGTATGCCATGATGTATATTTCTGGATAAAGTCTGAATATGGCAGTCTTGTCTTCTCTGTGGACTACATTTCTCCAAGTTGAACTCGGATGAAAGTTTTACAAAATCTTCCAAACTTTACTTTCACCTGTGACATTGGAAATTTTAAGTTTCTTCTGAGGCGATGTTGCCGCTGTGGTGTAGTCACTAGAATCCACGTTGCTCTGCAGTTGACGACCCAATAGAACGCAGTTTCTTGCTTGGGCTACAAGACTGTAGGGTGTGGCAGAAGAGCTGTCGTCCGCTGTCGCGGGCTGTGCACCCTGGGTAAAAGAGTGACTGGGTGTGGCTGCCGGGATGGCACGTCTTGGAGCTATGGCGAGCTGCTTGTCATTCGTGGCACTTTTGAACGCATTCGCAGACGACCCTGTTTGATACTGAAAATGTTCCTCGCATGTGGGTCTGGGTGTAATAGGGGCATTCACTAATGGTGTAGCATGTCTTGGCAGAGAGGACTCGTGTGATGCCAGGCTTATGGTAGTCTGGTTCTGAGACGTGAGAGGGAATTGAGGAAAGAAGATGGCTGCCGGTCGAGATGCGCCAGTAGTGGCCGTGTTGATAGCGTTGTTCATGTAGTACTGTGACAGTGAGAGAGGAGATGGCAGGATGTAGGGGTTGAGGGCCGACTGCGATGGCTGGGTGGAATGGACTTGTTGTGGGGTGAACTTGCGGGCTCTCGGTGGCTGTTCCATTATCCTAAGACAGTTTTCACGACAAAAGACTATCCCTGCAATGACAAATGATATTGAAGAATATTATACCAGCATTCATCATAGTCAAGTGGGTGTTCAGTGACCCAAGGATCACACTAATCAATGACCGCTTCATACATGGTACTGTAACCTAAAAACAGGACGACCCAGATGAACCCAGTGATTGACATCATGAGCATCGATCCACGCAGTTGGGATATGATGACATGCATCAACCAAGTCAGCGAGCCTGACCACCCGATCCCGTTAGTCGCCTCTTACGACAAGCATAGGCAACTTTAACAGCAAGCATGGGTTCTTCACGGGTCCATTTTACAAAGTGGATGATTATATTTTACACACTGACTGTAACATATACAACTTTGCAGATACAGATAGATCGTGACATCGTTAATGCAAATATCGTATTAGAAACATCGAAAGCGCACGTAAATAAGGTTTATCTGCACTTTTGTCTTGTCTATCAATTTCAAAAGTTGAAACGAAACTACAGCAGAGGCGGAGCCTTTATATACAGATGCTCCATAAACATACATATATGGTCTTGTTGGAGGAGTGAGTGAGTGAGTATGGTTTTACGCCGCTTTTAGCAATATTCCAGCAATATCACGGCGGGGGACACCAGAAATGGGCTTCACACATTGTACCCATGTCGGGAATCGAACCCGGGTCTTCGGCGTGACGAGCGAACGCTTTAACCACTAGGCTACCCGACCGCCCCCTTGTTGGAGGAAATGACCTCCCAAATTACACCTTGATTGCACAAGACCGCCCCTCCGTTCGCACTCTCGCAGGTCAGCCACCTTTCACGTAACAAGTCACAACACACCCAATTTCACCCCACCTACTAATAAAGACATCAAAATACGTACTTTTAATTAAGCGTTTACTTTCTTACACTGTTTTCCCCATTGTGGGGGCACCGGTGGCCCAGTGTCGCTGTGCAGAGTTGCGTCCCTTGGGCAGGCCAGAAACCTATGGTTGTGGGTTCGAATCCCGGTTCGCCCCGATTATGTTTTTAGGTTTGTCAGCACCATACCCGTGCTCGTGGGTTTCACCGAGGTGGCAAACGTCTGAGACCTGCATCACTTCGGGTTGATAATACACATAAACGTGATAAATTCATTTTACAAATTCCTCTATTTAATGACATGGCAGTGCCTGACGTTCGTGTTGGCTTACCTGAAGTATCTTTGAGAACATCAATTCTCTTGAGCCAGTCAACCACAGTGACAAGGTCCGAGTACACAAGGCGCTGGAACACCCGCTTTATCTTGGCTTTAGCTGTGCTCACATCTAAGGGGTCGGGGCCTCCTGAAAATGTGATATTGTGCCAGTAAGTGAATACACAAATCTGACACGGACACAGCGTAAAATATATAAGTCGCAACTAGCATAATGTGGTACCAGGATTGTAGCAGGGACGACAATTAACTACTTCGAATCCCGGTTCACCCTGACTATGATTCTAGGTTTCACAGCACACCATACCTGTGGGTTTCACCAAAGTGGAAAACGTCTTGACCTGCATCTCTTTTGGCTTTCCTCCCACACCAAGCTGACACGCCGTGATAGAACTGGAATACTGTTCAAGGCAGCATTAAACCAAACCCATTCACTCTCTGTGATAGTATTACCTGATATATATAATATGGAGTGGTATTTACCCATAATATGCTGACCTTTCCTGTCTGATTTCGTCTGTGATTTCCGTCTAACGTATGGACGGAATGCTCCCCTCTCTTCCTCTGTGTTGCAGCCAACTGACTTGGTTGAGTCACCTGGGAGTACGGCTGGGGGTAGGGATCTATCAGCTGGGAGTACGGCTGGGGGTAGGGATCTATCAGCGGGAACAAAGCTTTGTCCACCTGTAGATGACGTGTCGTAAGAAACTACAGCTTGAACTTGTGCGTTTTGTACAGATCTGACTTGATACCTATGTTGGAAAACAAGTTCCTCCAACGACCAGGGTGCTAGTTTCTTCATTGAAACATTTGTGTACTTCGTATCAAGCTCGGCTAGTTTGGTTATCTTCCCCATCATCTGAGAAGTGAAGTTTCTGCCGATCCGCTCGGGGTGATACCATGCGCTTTTTCTGTCGGGAATGGACAGTCGTGGACGCTGAAATAGAAACTGACAGTTGGGGTCGATTCTCGTCAGAAGCCTCTCCAGGGATAAAATGGGGCACATCTCATCACCTTTCTTCTCATACATCCGACATCGGTCACGTTCCTCGTCTCTAAGTGCCCCGGTTACATAACGACGTCCGTCGCTGTCAACGTCAAAGATGAAGTCTGACGTTTTGGTTTCCCGTTGGACTTTGGATCTTTTCCTAGAAAAGTACACGCTGATTTCAAACCACACTTTGAGCAGAAGGGTCAGTGGGGTATTGGGGCTTATTGCATCACTATTGTAAATTTTCCTCAGGTCTTCAGTCGTCATTCGGGGGCTTGTTCTGTCTGGGTTTTCTCTGGCGGCACTTTTAACAACACGTTTGAACACTGCATTGGAATACCTGAATGTTTTTTCTTCAATAATGTCCATCTTTCTTGGAGGTACCATGTTTGCGAAATACCTATTTAGACCATATCTTATTGCAACGATAGTATTTCTCGAGTAGCGTTGACCGACCTTACTCCGAACTTCAACATAAAATCGACACAGAATTTGATCAAGAGCGGCAGGTTTTATAGTTTTTAGATCGACGTTAACGTTGTTTTTCTGACACCAGTCAAGTAGGAGTTTGACGGTAAACTTCAATGGGCGATCAGGAGTTGTGAATTCGGTTGTGTCCATGGGGTTCGGTTCGGGCTCGGATTCCGACTCCGATTCCCCAGCCTCCTCTGCGTCATCATAATACATTTCTGGTTCATACACTTCCCCTATAACAGATTCGGAGGAAATGCTGTCCATATGTCTTCCATTGTCACTGTCACCAGCAACGGACTCTACTTCTAAAATGAGTTCAGGACTAGATCTATATTCTGTTACTCGAGAGAACGGCTTAGGTTGAACAGGTTTCAACTGTTTCGCCATTTTGTCGTCAGTGATGTTGTTACGTTCATCTCCGACAAACACACATATTCCGTCAAACCATTTCACGTTACCTCTCTAGTACTTTCAACGTACTCACGATAAGCAGCTTTTCATGCAGGGATGTTTTCAGAAGTTGTTCGTGAACTATGTGCATAAAACTAAAATCACGCCCGCCTAAGTACATTTCTCTGACCTTGACCTTCTGTAGGGAGACGTTATTGCATCAAATGGCACGTTGTTGCTTAGACTGGTCCCCTGCCTCTGTTGCGCGCGATACTATGCCAGCTAGCTGAGGAAAAGCATGAGGGCAGGAGACCAGTCTGGTTGCGGGTTGGCTATCTGCTTCCGACATTTAGTACCGCAGCCAGCTTTGTCCAGCCAGGATCCCAGTCGGGGAATATAGACACTTTGTATCCCGTCGACACTATTAATTATGCAGGGATGTATGGGCCCATTTCGTTCCCCAAACCAGGGACGATTATCTCTTGAAACATGTTTAGTAGTGTACCCTGCATTAGTGATGCCTTTAGCCATAATATGCATTGTGTAAAGGTTATACTTTCTGTACATAATTAAGTTCCTCCGTGGAAACTCTTCAAAATATCTGTTAACATGTATAGCAAGCATACCGTATTTCCTCTATTAGACGCACGGACTTCTATTTATTTCGGACAAGCCTTTGACCCGGCGTCTATTGGAGGCCCGGCTTCTATTAATACCCCCATTTCACTGTGACCACTAATGTCCCGAATCGTCACGAAATGGAAATATTTATTTATATGAGGCCCGGCTTCTATTTTTTGCACTGAACAATTGACCCGGCTTCTATTAGAGGCCCGAGGCCCGGCGTCTACTAGAGGAAATACGGTATTCCCATCTTCCCAAGGCAAGAGCGTCCACTAGCCTGGGCCTTGATACAGGCTGGTGGACGCCTGCTTCAGGAAGATGGCACATGCCTTGTGATAGCCCTCTTGGATTTGGAATATTCCATTTTCGATAGTGAATAACTTTTCATGATACATCATAGGAACTTATTGTGTTGATCAAAAGGTATGCAATTTGTCATGTATTCGAGTGGTTTTCGCGTTGCATGACCCTTTAATATACTTGAGACATTTAGTTCACGAGTTTCATCATGAATCAGGTTGGAAATTCAGTAGCTGGTGGTGTTTTACGAAGAGCTATGGACACTAATAGGCTCATTATAAGTAAAGTTCAGTGGTGAATGTATGATTTGGTGTAAACCATAAACGAGTAAGAGACTGTTGAAGCGTCTAGCGCCTCACACGGCAGCTTGGTTTGTATAATCCCCAGGGAGGAGTAAACCCCGAAGATACGTCTGTGTTTGGAGAAATCCATGACCATGTGTACCATTAAGTGGAATCTTCGATACGAAGTCACAACCACAGGATCCTGGCGCAATTGCAGAGCCAATTGTTGTCCCTACGTCACCAGTCTGAATGAGTTAAATTGGGTTTAGTAAACGCCATTTTGAACAGAGAATCACAATGACAAGTGAACAGTTTCTAAAGAGTAATGCTTTATTCAGATTAAATGAGATACAGAATTCATTTCCTGAATTATACAAATCAGTTATTTACAATATTTGTTTTGTAATGAATGACGTAACATGGATTTATAAAGAACAATGGTGCGCTAAAATACATATTAAAAAAAAAATTCTTTAACCTGTGAAATACTATAAAATGTTATAACAACAATACATAAAATACCAAACCTGCAACTTGCTCACGACACGATGGCATTGTATGATGTGACATCGATGGATGAACTCTCTCTGCCCCTGGGCCATATATAACCCTCAGGGCATGTGTCCTTGTGGGATAGCACTGCAGTCTATGTGACTGCGGTAGATGGAGACAGTATGTGAATGAGTGAGGCTGGGTAGCCTTTGGTACAGAAGCGACAGAGGAGTGATCAGCAAGACACGCCAATATCTTGATTGCTTGTAAAGAATAAGGCGCCAGAAGAAGGCAAGCCAGCGTTTGAAAGTGTGGGCATCAATTTGTGTTGAGGTAATGCCTCACAAATTTGGCAATTTGGCAAAGTTTTGGTCTTCAAATAGTTTTCAAAGGTAATAGTATTCACACTTGGTGGCCATGGGTGTCACAAATCCCTGTTTTATTAACCTCTTAAGACAATGATAGCCTGCTGAGGACATAGTCAGCCAAAGAATACCCAATGGGTAGTGGATACGCAGCTGATAGTCAACTGATTAGTAAGAGTAGGTAAAACTATTTATATAAAAGCATAGGATAGGATAGTGAACGTGTGAATCAGCACATAGCATAACAGCTTCGAGGAAATAACCTGCCTATTCCAACCTTTAACTGTACCAGACAACCAAGCAGAAACTATTAATGCAGAGTCTTTGTGATAAAGGAAGACAATTCTGCTTGGTAAGAAACGTATGTTATCGATACCAACTTCTGGTTAATTGCATTAGCGACATTTTACGATGTAGATTCTTAGTTATTAAATATCGCTATTGCATGAACCAGAAACTTATCCATACAGTTGCACATGTTTTTATTCACGCACCAACTTCTAGAATGCCAATTAAACAGTTAATTCTTCTGGGAATACACAGTGTTCAAGCCTATTTAAGGTAATAAGGTGCATTTTGCTCGGGCAAGCATTGGGCTCAAATTCAAAGTGGGCAATAGGTACTGGATACAAGCAGTTAAAAATAAGGCAATATATTATATAGTTTGTCAAGCTGTTTGCACCTTATGCCTGTAAGTATTAACGGTGTTTTAAAAAAATAAGATGGGATGTTTCCCATGCCCGCACGAACAAGATACCAACAACTCGAATTATTCTAGTACAAGTTTTTCCACAATGTTTCGCACCAATATTGGACTCAGATACCTAAATACAAGCAATGTCTTCGTCTAGATATAACAAACCGTTTTGTGAGGAGTGCCATGGAAGCTAGATTTATTTCTAAAACAGTTTCGTCTAAAATGAAATTGATATAAACCAACATTTCTACCTTTTACAACACTTTTTAACAACTTCATAAAATAATGAGAAATGTTAAGAATAAATTGCTAATGTAGCTAAAATATTCAACAATTACAGAAAGTAGGCATGTGTGATACAAAACCAAGTTGGCATGTAACCTGTAATCGTATCTATCCTGACTAAGCACATGTAATGGCAAAGTGTTGAACCAGCGACTGTTGCTGGAAACCCTTTACATATTCAAATGCAGTAGGTAAAAGTCTGAACAGCACAACTACTGGTTCTCTGGCAATGGAATTGGTGCTAGTGCAGGGGCCGGTATCCACAAAGCAGTCTCAGCACTATGGTGATCGTAACTCCCATACTTTAACACAGGCTTATGACAGCAGTTGCGCTACGATCGCTCTGTGGAACAAGCCCCAGGGTTTAATGCTAAGAGTAAAAAAGAAAAACTACCTGGGAATTAAGTGTGACGTTTGAGCGTCTAAAAGAATGTTGCTGATGCAGACACAAGCACCAAACACTCTTTCCAGCCAAGTAACACCAGTAATTTCACTGGGAACACTTGCATTGTGTCTTTGCTGTGTGATTGGATTGAAGACAAGATGACATCTCATGGGAGAGGTGGGAGGATGCAGATTGTAACAACTTCATAATATTTCATGGTATGATATAACAAGACAATTTCCCATATATTTCTGTGTAAGACTTGACATGGAGTTTAATCATGCTGCTTGTCAATGCGGAGACGATTTTGCCCTTCAAAAATAAATTAGCTACCTATTTCCAGTTGAGATAGTTTCGAACACTGCACTGACATATCATGTGACTCTACTGTGGCCAGCCATATCAAGTGGTTGTGTTTCACAGCTGGACTTCAATTTTCACCCCAACACATGCTTATTCTGTATCAAATGGGACAAGTTATACTGCAGTCCACAAGATGAGGTGGTGTATTGATAAAGCCTCCTTAGGAGCCATATAGTGTCAGCATGCAAAAGTTTGTAGGGAAATGTGTCACTTACTGCTCCTGTGTTTTTGTGATGTCTCGGTGAAACCAGGTGACTTCAAAATGGCAACGCACACACTATTCCATAGTATTTACAATACTAATTTCATAATAAAGAAATGAACAAACAAACAGTAATTCTGGTAACAAAAATAGGTTGTCATACGAGTCATTGTTTGGCTTCAGGGAAGATAACCGGGTGTACATGATGTTGATGCTAAATTTTATTTCAGTCAGTAGATGTACAGAACTATAGTTCGTACTGAGAGCACTGCTGGGCATACAGACTATAGTTTGTACTGAGAGCACCGCTGGGCATACAGACTATAGTTTGTACTAAGAGCACTGCTGGGCGTACAGAGTATCGTTCGTACTGAGAGTACTGCTGGCCATACAGACTATAGTTTGTACTGAGAGCACTGCTGGGTATACAGATTATAGTTTGTACTGAGAGTACTGCTGGGCATACAGACTATAGTTTGTACTGAGAGCACTGCTGGGTGTACAGACTATAGTTTGTACTGAGAGCACTGCTGGGCATACAGACTATAGTTTGTACTGACAGCACTGCGGGGCGTACGGTTTATAGCTTGTGTGAGAGTATCTGCTGGACATAAATACTACAGTCAGTAATGCGAACATCTTGGCATACAGAATACAGTCTGTAGTCATAGTATGCCCCAGCAACTACAGGTGTAACAACTTAGGGGAGGTGCCATGCAATACACGACCATATTGAAACATAACAGGCTTATAAGATGCATTCCTGACAGTTAACAATTCCTAACAAGCAAAACTTGGGTGTGTAAACTACACACAGTGTAATGCAATATCCAAGTTCAATTTATAATGCAACATGTAAGAGAAGGACAATGAAGGTATTGATATATGAGTATCTTCAACTGCTTCTGTAACCTAACACGTCCTGACATCCGTCTCCTGCAAAATGGAGTCGAAATGTAACATGCCTTCATTTTGCTAAGCACTAATAATTTGCAATATTTACAAAGCAGCACATGTTCTAATTCAAATTTAACCAACACCTGCAAGTTACTACCGTTCTTTACATTCCAGTAAAAATAGAGAGCAGTTTGATAAAAGTAATATCTATATATCTGTATTAGATACTGCATTTTGGTCTATTCATTAATTCCTTTCACATTCACATCACGACTGCAACATGTAATAAAATACTGCAATATTCATGAAACGTGAAAACACCCCATAGTTGTTACACCCGATCAGTGTGTGATGTCTCAAGATTGTGTTGATCGTCACCTTCAAACAACTGCTAAATAAAATTAACAAACTAACAAGTCCAGGAATACCGCTAAATACTTTTCAGGTAGTTCATTTAACAACTAACGATAATGAAAAACTGTGAACATTCAACCTGAAACAGTGAACTTGCTACAGAGAGCAGGTCCAATCTAAGGACTTCTATATTTCACGTCATACTTCGCTTTATTTTAGACTAGATCATTTTCCCATTCAACTAGCTGCTAGATCAATCTGTGGGTTCTGCCCTAACTGCATACTGTGTTCGAACTCGAGAAGAAATATGGAATACCCAACGAGACAGCTGCAAATGGCTGCTCATATAAAGAATCATTGACACTTGCTCAGCACTCGTCCAGCTCCTGGGAAGCCTAACTATAATATAGTTACACACAAAGCTGACATGTTAATTCAGCCAATTCATTTTACCATGAGCTGGATATTTCCTTGACAAATACTTCAATATTTCAGAAAATATAAATAATCTGTTCCCTGTCTTTGTAGAAGCAATGTAGTCCTTTCTTTGAGAGGAAGCCAGGGTGATGCTAATTCTGTGATGTAGCTGGACTGTCAGTATTGCCTGTACCTGCAACAGAGACAAGTCATGGTTACTAGCTGGTCATAGATAATGCCAGTCAGACTGGGATCCTTCTGCTCACTAACAATGATGGTCTCACCAAAAGTTAATTATCTGCAACTTGGTGGAAGATTTAGCAAGTATGAAATATGAGTTTCATGATGGTTAGGTGAAATGGGGATTAATGTCACATTCAAGATTATCGCACTTATATATGTGTGCGCGTGTGTATGCACTTGAACAAGTCCCAAATAATGCTGAGTTTATAGTGCTAGCCCACTGAGATACCATGTTGCAGTTTAACAAGAATACCCCCCTCAGACACAGTGTACTGACTCTGAGCCAACCAGTCCTTGTTTTGTCCCCTTACTGTCAAGCGCCAGGCAGGTTAACAACAAATACCATCTTTTAACATCTTCTGGTATGACACGGTCGAGGATCGAACCCAGGGCGGACGCTCTACCACAAGACAACGTAGGCAGTCTCACTGGAAAAGAAGTCTGTAGAAGGCAGATAACACCAAGGTTACTGAGGGACATCCATGTCTGAGAGACCGCCTCAGTGGTCTAATGGTAGAGCGGCCGCCCGGAGAGCGGAAGGTCCGGGGTTCGATCCCCGGCTGCATCATACCAAAAGACGTTAAAAGATGGTACTTGTTGTTACCCTGTCTGGCGCTCGGCATTAAGGGGCTAAAACAAGGACTGGTCGGCTCGGAGTCAGTATACTGTGTCTGAGTGGGGTATTCATGTTAAACTGCAGCATGGTATCTCAGTGTGCTAGCACTATAAATCGGCATCAGTCCGGACTAGTACAAGCAGCCACACACACGTGCATGCACGTTGCTATATAAGTGCAATTATCTTGGACAAGACGTTAAACCCAATTTCACCTCATCTCACCTCATCTCACCAGATACCCTTACAGCGGGTAGTGTCACTTATTTAAAGTAGAGGGTTGACTTGAGTGAGAGATGGTCTGATGGGAAGTTACCTATTTAAAGTAGAGGGTTGACTTGAGTGAGAGGTCTGATGGGAAGTTACCTATTTAAAGTAGAGGGTTGACTTGAGTGAGAGATGGTCTGATGGGAAGTCCTGGTTGGGTATCCCACCCGTTTCCTCCAAAACTGAGCTGTCCACGACCCTGAGGATGTCGGCCGCACCCAGTCCATCGCTGCCATAGAAAATATAATCCACTCCCTCCAACATGTTACTTGTGTAGGTTGTAAATTCTGGCTCCCCGTCCTGAAACATAGCAGACTTCACGTTAAAGATGGACACGTGATAAGTGTAAACAGCATTTGAATATACAGTTCCAACATTCCAGTAACACTCTTGTTAAATGTTCCCTATCATAACACTAAAATACAAATTGGCCATGCAGCATTAAGCCATGTTGGTTAATGAGGCACACCACAGAGCCTGACAACCCGATCCATTTGGTTGCCTCTCGTGACCTGCATAGGTTTCTGGGGAATACAGGAAAGTATATGTCAAGTATGGGTGTTATGATCGTCTTAGTGCTAAGACCGCTTTGTGAAACAAGGCCCTGACCAATATGCTGTTCCCAGTAGCTGCTGTCTAACTTAACCTCTCCATCTCTACATAGATTCCCTTCTGTTTTACACTAAAGTGAATACTGACCGGGTATCACAACCAAGATCAGAAAACTTCCATAAGTTTCCACTACACTGAATCAACTGCAAGTTCATATTGAATGCTTATTAATAGAAATAACCGACTTCATAAAGATTGTATGTACAGTAGTGCAAACATCACTTCTCGTGCACCATTGTATTGTGTGTATTGTTTTAGTCACTTGAACAGCATTGGCATCATTTGAATCATATTGTGATGTACAGTTGGAATGACATCACACTAAAAATGACATCATAGCTGAAGATGATTGACGTAACTTGACAAATTGTGGTTTTCTAGGACAGAGGTGGTGATCTGTGCATTTTTCTAAAGGGGAGCTCAAAAGGATTAAGAAATAATGGGTATAAGAGAAAGCATCACACTCACATGTGTGTCATACGGATTTTACGAAATTCATGTTAAAAATTCATGTATTACCCTTGCTCTCGCTGGGAAATACAAGAACTCTGACACTCATTTCCTAAAATCAGTATGACACACAAGTGAGTAAAATCATCTCTATTTCTGACCTTAGCTAACATTATACATCAAAGTTTCCAGTGTATATCTGGAACTACAGTTTACCTGACATGTGTTGTATGCACTGTTCAGATTGGAGGAGGTGTGCTGGAAGGCCCCCCACAAGTGATTGATCAAAGCCTTCTGAAAAAACAAAAGACAACCATCAAAGCATGTCTTTATAAACATGGCAAACAATTGCAAAAACTGAAAGCGTCTATCCACTGTTCATACCACACAAAGCAAAACGCTCTACCTACTGACTGAATGCATGTACGTATGTACGTACGTACGTACGTACGTGAACACTACTGCAGCTATAATGCATAAAAATGGCTCTCCATCTCGCACATTGTTAAATTAGACTTGTATATCACTGTTATGAGTTTATGTGACATGTTACATATTGGTGAAAGAATACAAACAGATACAAAATAGAAGTTACATGAAAGAGCATTTTAACCAGAACTATTTAAAATAAATGTTGGAATAAAAATACCCAATAGATTGGAACCAAGGGAGTAAAAACATTTCAAATATCCAAAGAAAACAATTAAAGTGATTGATAACTTGAGATTAAATGCTTAATGGCTCACTCTAAGCCTACTCTAAGCCAGAATCACAACATGGGTTGTATACTCACAGATCCAGACTCCAACTTCAAATTCTCCACAGCCTGCAAGGAGGCGATGTTTGAGTCGGAGAGGTATCCGTCCCGGGCCAACTGGTAGCCCACGCTTGTGGCTGTGGAGTTGAAGTCCCCACACAGGAAGTGGGGGCTGCTGTCACTGCCCGCCTGACTCACCAGCTCCTTCACAGCCGACGCTATCTGTAACACAAGCACATGGTTCTACATCACGGTGAAGCAAGCAGATATCGAACATAACCTGTATCATGTGTGAGTGAATGGTGAGACAGAGGGGGAGAGGGAGAGGGAGAGGGAGAGGGAGAGGGAGAGGGAGAGAAGTCTTATCCTCAAATCTGAAAAACACAATGTCCAAAGTCAAACCTCGGACTTTAGCATGGGACGCATGTGCCACTCACTGTCATGTCAAACCTCTTACAAATCACAGGCAACTGAGTTATTTATTACAACCATCATCCAACAACACATACCTGAATACTCTGGACATCTGGACTGCTGAAGTTATCCCAAACAACATGAATATTTCCAACAGTGACGACTTTGTTTGTTTGTTTACATCGAAGTCGACTAACGTTGACGACATCAGCTCGATCCAAATACTCCTCCACAGCTTGCTGTACTTCCTTGTTCAGACTCTCGTTGATGTTCTGTAACACGAACACACCTCAATGTGACACCACATGTGATTGATTGCTTGTTTGTTTGTTGTTTAACGCCGCACTCAGCAATATTCCAACTATATGATGGCGGCATGTAAATAATCAAGTCTGGACCAGACAATCCAGTGATTGACATCTTGAGCATCGAGATATGATGACATGCATCAACCAAGTCAAGAGAGCCTGACCACCCTGATCCCGTTAGTCGCCTCTTCCGACAAGCATGGTCGCCTTTTACGGCAAGCATGGGTTGCTGAAGACCTATTCTACCCCAGATCTTCACAGGTCGACACCAGATGTGACAGCCATGATGAAAAATATATGCAAAAACACATCAAGGCAACCAGTAAGATTAGCAATGCTATTACTTCACAGGAGAAACTATTTAACAGAGTGCCATCACATCCGTCTAATGTATAACAGCTGTATGCTTTAGAAATCACTGCCACTTTAGAACAATATACAACCGTGGTGTCATGATGATAAGTCGCCAATTCAGTGTAATTATCAATGGGCTTTTGTCTGTTTTTGTATTTGCTTGATGTTTGACACTACAAAACTCCAGCTGTATGATGGTGGCCTGTAAATAATCGATTCTGAACCAGACAATCCAGTCATTGATATTATGGGCAACAATTCATTCCATTAGGATATGATGACACACAATCGACAAATCACCGAGCCTGATCACCCCATCCATTAAGTCACCTCTTACATCAAGCATAGGTTATTGGGGTCCATGTCTAACCGGAGTCCCCACATGGGGTTATTAATTACTATGACTTGTTACCTTTTTGGACAGATCTGCCAGGGAGACTCCTTTACTTGACTCTATACTGAAGCGGCTTGTCTTGACAAAAGTTGCCTCCCCTTCATCGAAAGCCTCCTTTGTTCGCTTCATAAGACTGCCCTCATATCCACTCCTGGAATACATACACAACACTGCCGATTAACAATGGGATGTGATAGAGATCCAGCAGTCAGTTTATTGGGACTGTCATGGGTACTTGACACACAAGAGTCTTACCACATTTCTTGATTCAAAGACCACATCACGGAGTAGTCCTTAAACCTTTAGTTTGTTTGTTTGTTGTTTAATGCCGCACTCAGCAATATTCCAGCTATATGATGGCGGTCTGTAAATAATCGAGTCCGGACCAGACAATCCAGTGATTGACAGCATGAGCATCAATCTACGCAATTGTGATACGATGGCATGCATCTACTAAGTCAGTGAGCCTGACCACCCGATCCCGTTGGTACAAGCATGGGTTGCTGAAGACAAACTCTATCCCGGATCTTCACGAGTTCCTTCCACCGACACATGTCACTTACAACATGCATAGGATACAGTGATGGTCATATTAGGCTTTGGGGTCATGAGATACATATAAGTGGAGTATACCTTGTAATTTGTGAACTTGTAATGATGATATTTGTTGCATGTGTTACAAGCAGGGTGTACAGGATCTTGTGAGCTGAACTCATTGAGCGCAAGCCCACTCTTAAAGTGCTGTGGGGCGGTTGGGTAGCCTAGTGGTTAAATGGTTCGCTCGTCATGCCGAAGACCCGGGTTCGAATCCCGACATGGGTACAATGTGTGAAGCTCATTTCTGGTGTTCCCCGCCGAGATATTGCTGGAATATTGCTAAAAGCGGCGTAAAACCAAACCCACTCACTCACTTAAAGTGCTGTACGCCAAGCTACAAACACATGCAACATATACTGTGTCAACCAATGACACAAGAAACCAATTATCTTTACAAGTTCACAAGTTACAAGAAATGATTCTGTGACAATAAGCATGATTAGATCTGTCTTGTACCAGATTTGGTGTGCTTTGTTTATAGCTTGAAGCCGCACTCAGCAATATTCCACCTACATGACGATGACCTGAAAATAATCAACACTGGACGAGAAAATCCAGTGATTGATATTGTGAGCAACTATCCATGCCGGGGATGATGACATGCAATCAGTCATCGATTCTGACCACCTGATCCATAAGTCGCCCCTTACGACCAGCATAGGCTGCTGGTGACCGGTTCTAACCCGAGTAACCACAATGTTGTAGAAGAGGACTCACGACTTCAAGTGCGAACAGTCACCTGTGATATGACAAGCAAGTGACAACATGAAACATCACGTCCTAACATCCATACAGGCGTGCCAGACAGCTGTCATGGCTTTTTACAAGAAAGGGACAGACCAAAAGCTGTATTTAGTGACAAGTGAGTGAGTGAGTATGGTTTTACGCCGCTTTTAGCATTATTCCAGCAATATCACGGCGGGGGACACCAGAAATGGGCTTCACACATTGTACCCATGTCGGGATTCGAAACCCGGGTCTTCGGCGTGACGAGCGAACGCTTTAACCACTAGGCTACCCGACCGCCCCTTTAGTGACAAGTAACAATGAACATTCTCAAAAGCTATTTTCTGTACATCTCCTGAGCTCTAATTCATCAATAACCATGACTTACTTTTGAAGAGCAGGTTGTAAAAGTGTGGCATAGTACTTCGGGTTGACTTCCTGTAAACACAAAATGTCAGCATCCAAAAACTCCAGTTCTCGAAGCAGCAGCTGATGGCGGAACTCCTGCTCGAGATACTTGTCATCAGTGTAGCTATAGTCGCCCTTGAGCCGATGGCACTCGGCCAGAATGTTGTAGCTTGCAACACTGAACTTGTTGGAACTGGTGATGGAACTTAAGTCAATGTTTGGATTACGTACACAAGTACGGTGAAAAATGTCTGGACTAGGATCAAAGGTACGAAGAGGCTTCGGAATAACTGGTTCTGATTTGGTCAACTCCTTAGCATTATCAATGGGCTGAGATGAGACCGGTGTAGAATCTGCTGATGGGTGACAATCAGACTTGGAACTTTGTTGAGATGTGCCATTTGCAATATCGGATGTGACTGCTGGAGCTGCTGGAGCAGGAACCTTCGATTGTTCAGGGACAGCTGGAACCCCGTCCACCTCCATACTCTCCTCTTCAGACCTACCGTCCGGGACTTTCTGCAAGACACAAGAAATGATTTCATGAACAGCCATGCAGAATTCACTGGACAATGTGCTCCCATTCCCCTGTCATACTTCCAGAACTAGTCAATTTTTCTTATTTCATCTTCATCATATGTTTATAATTACAAACAGTGAAATCCATTTACCCTAAAATGATATAGATTTGCCTCTTAATGTTACTGTGTAAACATAGTACATAGTCAATCATGGCTCGATTTAGCTATATAAAACATGCACCAGTGCAACCTATTATTGAAAATGCAACCTAATATTAATCACTACATGCACCAAGTGCATGTCAAAATACTTAAATTGGTGTCTAACCTTCCACACCATGAATCATTGAACACAGTCAATACCTCTCAACCTTATCTACCTACATTAATAATCCCTGTTATGTGTCTTTTGTCATGCTTTGGGGGGCTTGACATCATCAAACTTCAGGAACTTCAAGATTATTTGATAAATTTCTGGGACCAGGGGGCAACCTGGTTTTGTCTGGTGCAACAAGGTTTTAATGACAACATGCTCTTGGTGCTAGTTAAATCAAGTTCCTTAAACCGAGGCCTGGTTGGATAGGGAGTAAAATGTCGGTATGGTCGGGTAACCAGAACCAAGCATATTTTTTAGATACACCAAAATCATATTTTTAGAATTACTCAAAAGAGAGAATTCCGAAAAAGTCATCCTACTTACTACTTCAGTTTGGTTTGTGTGATTAGGAAGTGCCTCCTTCACCATTGCACTATCAGTGGGGGGTACATCGTCCATGCTGATGATAACATAGCCAGATGTCAAGTCCTCATCTGCTGGCTTAGGCTGCTCTTCCTTTGTCACCCCTTCAGTAGCCTTATGACTTGTCTCCCCTGAAACAGCCTCTTTACTCTCGACAGCAGGCTCTTTGCTTATCTTTACAGAAGGTTCTTTGCTTATCTCAACAGAAGGTTCTTTGCTTATCTCAACAGAAGGCTCTTTCCTTATCTCAACAGAAGGCTCTTTGCTTTTCTCAACAGAAGGCTCTTTGCTTTTCTCAACAGAAGGCTCTTTGCTTTTCTCAACTGGAGATTCTTTGCACTCTGCAACAGGTGGTGCTATGCTCTCAACGGGAGGCTCCAGGCTCTTTTCTGCCAGAACAGGCTCCTGGATGGAAACCTGTGGAGCAGGTGTAGATTCTTCCTCTGCACTGGACACATCAGATATTGGCTCAATGATTGGCTGCTGTGATGTACGGGACTCAATTTCCTCGATTGCTTTATCATCTGGTTGTGAGGCCTCCATGTCACCAGCTTCAGTGTCTTGTGTAACTGGGCTCTCAACACACACACGTTTGCTCTCATTTTCTTCAAAAGACTCGTCATGTTCTAATTTTCTTTTCTGACCATGAGATGCAGTAACTGTAATATTTTGTTTTTCCGGACTTTGTTCGGGGTCTGCCGGGACTTCTGGGATCGGCATAGTGCCGTTGCATGGTGCTGACTCTTTCTTTGCTGGACTCTCTTCGACTTCATCGGTTTCCATTGCCTCAACAATGCTTTCTTCTTTCTTCTCATCTTTTTCTTCAACGATATCTTCTGATATTTTAGATTTGTCGGTCTCTATTGGTTCTGGTTCAGTCTCTGGCAGTGTTGTTTTCTGGCTAGGCAGCTCAGCTGCTGCTGAATCACCATCTACTTTATCAGTCTCCTTGTCTTCAGGGACAGGTAGCTTTTCTTTAGTTACTACAGCCTCCTTAATGTCAGCCTTTACTTTTTCTTTGGGTTCAACAGGTTTTTCCTTAATTTCTTCAGGTTTAGATACTTCTGTTTCACCCTTTGTTTCTGCTTTATCCGTCTCCTCTCCCATTGGCTCATCTGGTACTTTATCCTCTGATGTACTTTCTTCCTCTGGGACGCTTTTGATTTCCTCTTTCTCTTCCGATACGGCTTCCTCCTTGGTATCTCGAACGACTTTCCCACTGCCAGCTTCTTTGTCCACAGGTTCCTCATCCATGGCTTCTTCATCAGCAGCTTTGACTGGTGATTTATTTTCCGATTCAACTTCATCATCTCTCAGTTTTGTCAACTGAACAACAGCTTGTTTGTCAGTTTGATCCATGGGCGTCTCGCTGTCATTATCTGGAGTGCTGCTCTTCCTCCCACTCTGTCGTTTCTTCGTAGGAACAGTCTGATCAACTTCAGTCTTGACTTGTTTTCTTCCACTGCGTCTACCAGGAGGAGTCATCTCTGTGTCTTCAGTTGGCACAGCATCTTCAACCTTACCTGAAGATCTTCTCCTGCTGCCTCTGGTGCTCCCATTAGCCTGAGATTTGCCCCTGCCCTTGTCTTCCACAACTGCTGGTTCAACAACATCTTCTGCAGCAGGCTTGGGAGTTCGACTCCTACTGGACGATCTACTTGATCCTACAGACTCACTGACCGAACTCTCAACAGGCTTGCCCCTGCTCCTGCTCCTTCTCCCTGTGTCAGCCTCAACGTCTGGAGATTTACTTTCAGCAGCTTTACCTCTGCTTCTGCTTCTGCTCTTCGGTTGGCTTGTCTCGGCAGCTTCCTCAGGGGTGTTGTCAACTTGTTTAGCACCTTTTCTGCTTCTACTATTGGTTGGAGTAGACTCTTCCGCCTTTTCATTATTGCTGGACCTGCTTCTACTGCCCCGCCCTGTTTCTGCTGGTTTTTCTTCCGGTGTCTTTGCAGGTCCTTTCACTCTACTTCTGCCAGCCCTTCCTGATTCTGCAACAGCTTTATCTTTATTGCTTTCTTCAGCCTTTGCTTTACCACGACTTCGACTGCTAGTATTATTAGCTGCCTCTTTTTGTGTGTCAGTGTCAGCTTCAACAGGCTTGCCTCGACTCCGACTACGCCCACTGGCCCGTGCAGGTTCAGCGGCTACCTCTTCCGTTTCTTCTTCAACTTTAGCTTTTGCTCGGCTACGACTGCGACCCTTCTCTACGACATTATCATCTCCTTCACCTGCATGAGTAAAATTGAAGATGACATATAATTGATCAACTTTCAAGAATTCTGCACCATTTAAACATTTAAGAAAGATCTCTGATATATATTTTAGTGAAAAACAATAACATACAAAAGAGGCTATATTCAAACCAGATGAACCAGTCAGTATTTTCAAAAGAGACAAAAATGCCAATAACAGCGTTAGAAATTGGCACTAGTCCTGTAGTCCTTGCCAAACTGCCCACTAGTTAAGGTATCACAAGGGCTAGTAGAAATTGGCCATTTTTAAGGGTTTTGCTATATGTTATCATTATAAGGACTAGTGGACTAAAACTTTTAGTTTCTACCGCTGCAATAATCACGTAAAAGTGTTGAGAGTTCCTCTGAAATGTTACCAAACATGGAATGCAAGGTAGTCTGTTGAAAACTGTAAAACAAAGTTACCATTCTCTGCTGTTCTAAGATCAGGGATTTATCTAGGATTACAAACTGAGTGCCCTTGGCATGCTTGGCAGGTAAATTAGGAAATAATAATGATATTGTTTAAAAATTGATTTTTTAAACATCTTATCTGTGTTCATTCTGAGAAATTGGGAAATTTTGCATTCAAATTTGGAAGTTGTACCATCATTTGCTGCAGACTTGGGGCCGAACAATGACCTCTGAGCAGGTCTGGATAATCCCTTGAACATTTCATTTCTCATCTAATTTTCGTTTTTAAGTTTGAGTCTCCTTCATGATATTTACAAGCCCAATAGATGACAGTCATGTTCTCACCTTGTTTCTGTTGCCGTCCTCTTGCTGGCTTTGTCACTACATCTACAACTTCAGGCTCTGACCGGATCTCAGCACCTCTACTTCTGGATGATCGAGATCTGAAATATTTTCACATTATGTAAAATCTGGCTCGCTGATCTAACTGTTATCTCTTGTGTGCGCATTTCACTGTTTTCAAAAGTACTGCTAATTGTAGGTACCAGCAGCCAAAATTTTAACTTTTAACTTAGTAATTGTTGTGTTTGTTGTTTAACATGTTAAATGCAAACATTCCCACTAATAATCAAGTCTGGAACAGACAAAACTGTCACCAATCCACACTATTGGGGTACAATGGCATGAGTAATCAGGTCACTGATTCTGACCACCCCATCAATGATGCAAGAAAAGAATGCTGGGGGACTGTTCTTAACAGGAATTCCAAAAGAGACATAATAATGACGTGGCAGAAACTTAAACATGAAAGTTGATTATGCCATTCAAATACCTCTTCCCGAGGCAAGGGAGTTAACTGACAAAGAAAGACCAGTTTCCACCCTTGTCGTAACTTCTGGGTTCGATTATAGTGCCACCAGTGGCTATTATGAGTTATGTCCCTTCTATGTCCCTCCTACTGACCAGTCAGATTCCACCACTCATATCACTTGAATTTGTTTCAAACAAAATGGCGTCGCCCAGTGAAGGCGATCCGATCGATAACCAAGACACATATTGTAATGAAACGGGCCTTAACAGTAATCTATCAATAGGCATTTTAGGAATCTTGGACCAATACTTGATAATTCTAATATGTTGAAATATGTAAAGTGGTACAAGTCCACATTCACCATATACCATAAACACTTGATGTACAGTTTGACAGCAATTGACATGTATAACAGATAAATAAATAGAATTAGGTTGTCAGACATGGTGATATGTGTCATTGTACCCCAATGACATTAGACATGCTCATAATATGGAACAGGTTTGTCTGGCCCACACTCAATTATTCACAGGTCACTATGACATTTCGGACTAAGGAGTAAGACATTAAAAAAAGCAACCTAAGTGATTTAAGTTTCATCCAGAAACAATCATGAACACCAACTGCAAAATTACTCGTGATCCATCTAACATCACTACATGTCAACAGTATTTTTCAATAATATATCATGTATATGTAGATATGAAATACAAATCACAACACTGACTTGCCAATCAAAATATCTAAGAGGTATTCCACAAATTATGTCCCTTTTTCAGAAAATGTAATTACAATATTTTTAAACATGTAGATGTCTAGTCCCAAATGAAAACAGGACACAAACCGGTTTAGGGTGCAACTCACCTGGAAGTAGATGTGCCTGGTGAGGGAGAAGGGGAATCTGCGGTGGATAGAGAAGCCCGGGAACTTGTAGTTGATGCTTTTGTGGTAGCCCGTGGACTCATCCGAGATGGGGTTGGACTGTCAGTCAGTGTTTTCCGTGTCACCCTTGGCATTGTGAAGCCTACCAAATAGATGAATGACAATTTCAATTAGTGGCATACTACAAATAGAGTAGTTTAACTCTTGCAGGGTACAATAAGTAATATAACTGAAGCAGATTATAGGTGAACAGTGTGGGAAATAAGCACCTGCTGCTACATTCTTTGATGAACATTGCCATGTATGTTGTCTTCTTTCTGTACTTACAAAACACACCACAGACATAGTCCTACCAAACATTCATGCTTCATCATGTTGTTTGTAGTTGAACGCCACACTCAACAATATTCCAGCTATATGATGATGGTCTGTAAATAATCGAGTCTGGATCAGACAATCCAGTGGTTGACATCATGAGCATTGATCAACGCAATTGGCATCTGACGACATGCATCAACCAAGTCAGCAAGTCTGACCACCCGATCCTGTTAGTCGCCTCTTATGACAAGCATTGTCGCTTTTTACGGCAAGCATGGGTTGCTGAAGACCTATTCTACCCTGGATCTTCACGGGTTCAACAGTTAATGTATACAGGTGCCTTGAACAATTACACTGTGCTGGGCACACTTTTTAGGAACACATTTAGTACCGCCTTGGTAGAGGCGGATCAAACTTGTGGTGGCAGCTTTAAGATAGGATAAGTTATTGACATCATTAATAGAATGCCGTGACCACTTTTTCTTGCAAACCTCAAAACCTGAGCTAACCATAACTCACAACTACTGCATAAGATTGGAAAAGGGTGCGTAACCCTAAAGATTCTATAGGGCTATGGCTTGCAAAGGGGTGCTGGATTGGAAAGGGCATTTAAGGGTTAAAACCTTGTTGGGGCTAACCAGACTAACATCTAGTCTCTGAAATGAACATGATTTACGGATAAAAACAGTTGTAAATTACAGGTATAAAATATAACAAAAATGAGCACTGCAGTATCTAGACTTGCCATATATTACAGTCTTGTATGGGCTGTATTGGATATATTTGCTTCAGGGTCTGTATGACAAACTACGGGATTACTTACCATTACACTAACACAACTAACCCTGGATTACAAAGGAACAATGTGTGACTTGTAAGTATAATTTTTATATACGCCCCCCCATATAAGGTTAATTGAACCTTTCTCCTTCTTATCCGATGCAAATCCTTTTTTTAGAGTTAGGTAAATTAATTAAAGTCTAGAATTCCATGTCAAGTGGGTATGTATAAGAAGATTCTGGGGTATGAACAAAATGTAGTTTGATACTGACTGAACGAACATGATCAAGAATTTTGCACAAATTGGTCAACAAATTCAACGACTTTCACTTCATTAAAAAGCGTGTGCAGTTCGTAATATTTATACATACGTACCTGAAATTCATCAAGTAGAAAATTCGAACGTATAAATGTTTACTCTAACGTAGTCTTTCGAGCCTCCCCTTCAGTTATTGTTTAAGGCATGAGTAAAAGAAGCCATAACCACAACACCCCAGCCTTCTTTTGTCGTGAAAACAGGCAACTCTGCTTGTATACAAACGATAATTTACGTTATTTTAGGGAAATTGCTTTACTCGAAGAAGAACACATATTGAACTGATAATATTCTATGCGAAATCTGGAATATTGTACCACGTAAATGCGGAACCACTAATTCTATCATACCACTCGGTCACTGTTATCAGTTTTCGCGGTTTAAATCTCCAATCATGTGGACATCTTACTTGTCTAAATAGCTAGTTGCAGATCATAAAACACAAATAAATAGTACATGCATTGACTAACACATAAAATGAAAAGCTAATTTGGTTACATTACCTGCAAGTTACACGTTTTTAGCTTGTTTATTTTACTTAAATAACAGTGTCGTATGCAAACTTTGCAACAAGGATGCCGCCATTAAGTCTGCTCTGCAGCAAATATATTCGCTGCGTTGCATTGGTCTAATTTATACATAAATAAAACGAGTGAATACCACGATCAAATTTACCAGTGTGTGTTTTTGTTATGGTCCCTTTAATACAAATATATTTATTAAATAAAAGTTACTGCTAAAAAACCTCCGTGATATTATACTCCAACTAGCTTTATTGGTCAGGGACGCGTGCGCTAATAAGAACGCACACAGTCGTATGCATTCCAAACGCTCTTTGTCCGTATAACCATAAACGCGAAAGCAAATATTCAGATCCTAATACAAACTGAAGTGTTTACTAGTGTGACGATTCTCGGTAGTTGGGCCTACTTTTTTAAGCAGTTTTGAAGCATTTGAGTACAAAATACTGCACTGAGACGCCGACAACTAAACATAAAAAAATGAAATAAGTGGGTTGACAAGGAGCCTTTCCGTGAGTGGTTCAGTAAGGGTGCTGCATTTGAGTGTTTTCTTTGTAATTATACAAGCCCCTCCGGGGTTGGTTCTTTTTAGTGGTAGAAAAGATTATTTTGTTTTACATTAGGCAGGACAATAAGAAAAATATCATTATTTAACTGTTGATAATAATCGTTTATTATTATGCGTGTCTTAAGAGGCGGCTTTCGGATTTATAGGGCTAGCCCACTGAGATACCATGCTGCAGATGTACATGGATACCCCACTTGGACATAGTATACTGACTCCGAGCAGACCAGCCCTTGTTTCATCCCTTTCAAGCGAGTTCCTGATAACAACAAACATCTTTTGTTGTTCCAACTATATGACGGCGGTCTGTAAATAATCGAGCCTGGAGCAGACAACCCAGTGATTAATGTCATGAGAATCGAGTCACGCATGGCGGACATGCATCAGCCAAGTCAACGGGCTTGACCAGCTGATCCCGTTAGTCGCCTCTTACGACAATCATAGTCGCCTCTTACGGCAAGCATTAGACACCTCTTACGGCAAGCATCGGTTGCTGAAGACCTGTTCTAACCCGGATCATCTACTTCTTGCACAAAGCGATCTTAGCGCTAAGAGGGGCGGTCGGGTAGCCTAGTGGTTAAAGCGTTCGCTCGTCACGCCGAAGACCCGGGTTCGATTCCCGACATGGGTACAATGTGTGAAGCCCATTTCTGGTGTCCCCCGCCGTGATATTGCTGGAATATTGCTAAAAGCGGCGTAAAACTATACTCACTCACTTAGCGCTAAGATGATCTTTACTCCCATACTTTAACATAGGCTTACAATAGTCCTAGCGCTAAGGTCACTTTGTGCAAGTGGGCCCAGGGTGCCGTTGTACAAAACAACCTTAGCGCTACGACTGTCGTAAGTCTATGTTAAGGTATGGGAGTTACGATCACCTTAGCACTAAGATCTCTTTTGGTATGACGCAGCCAGGGATCAGAGAACCGACTACCCGCTCTCCAGACTAACGCTCTATCCACTAGGCCACGGAGGCGGTCGACTTTTCGCGGATATTTCGGATGATAATGGGAATGAAAAGTCATCAGTAAAGTAATTCCGTTTAGCGTTTGACAAAAAATAAATTGACAGTTGTGACATTTACATGCTTCTTTAATTGTTTGTTTGTTTGTTTAACGTCACAATCAGCAATATTCCTGCTATATGACGGCAGTCTGTAATTAACCTAGTCTGCACCGGAAACTTCAGTGATTGTTACCATGAGCATCGATCTATGGTATGACATGCATCAACCAAGTCAACGAGCCTGATCACCCGATCCCGTTAGCCACCTCTTACGATTAACATGGGTTGCTGTAACCCGGTTCTTCACGGGGATCTTCACTGGGCATGAAGCTTATATGTGTTCCAAACTATACACTCTCACGTTGATTTAATAATAATAACAACAACAACAACAACAACAACAACAACAACAACAACAACAATAACAACAAAAAAACATCAGTGAAAGGAGTACTTGTGTACTCACCCATGTTACTTGTGATTAAAACATTAATTCAGCGACGAGAAGGGAATCAGTATCTGTCAAAATGGCTCCCAGCAAATTTGATTCGACCAGGGCGCCTAGAAAAGACATGTAACACATTTTTAGAAAAGTGTTTAAATCCCAAAAGGAATGAAAGTTTATGTGTTTAGGTCTAAAAATGACCAGTATCACCCGACTAAACACAGACTCCCAATAATCTAAACATGTTCAGATTCCAAACACAATGCTAAACATCTTTACAATTTCAACATGTTTTCACCTCTAATCGCATTATGGAACGTGCTAATAGGTTTCTATTAAGATTCTAAACACATTATTAACAGTGCAGGTGTTTCAAATATCTCTTTGTCTGTCAACTCCATTTTCACATATAACACAGTAAATTATTGCAGACATTACACACCAACAATGTGGAGTCACGCGTGACCCAGTCGCCTAAAGTGCGGCAATTCGATGTGCAGAGTTGCGTCCCTTGGGCATGCCAGACACATATGATCTAGGGTTAGAATCCTGGTTCGCACCGATTGGGTTTCTAGGTTTGTCAGGTTTGTTTGTGTGTTTCACCAAATCGCTAACCGTCTTAGACCTGCATCACTCCGGGCTTTCCTCCCTCATTCAGCTGGCACGCCTTGAATTACTGGAATGCTGTTCAAAGCAAACTCACTCGCAAACAATGTTTCACTGTCACATCTCCCTTGAATAATAACTCAGCGGCATGTCTAACCAGTAATTATAATCGTGTCGCCATGGTATTATTATTTATAACTGAACCACTCCTTGTAAAATTGCGTTTAGAATGTAAACACAAAGTTGGTTGGTTTGTTGTTTACGCCGCACCCAGCAATATTCCAGCTATATGACGGCGGTCTGTAAATATTCGAGTCTGGACCAGACAATCCAGTGATTAATATCATGAGAGTCGGTCCACGCAATTGGGATCGATGACATGCATCAACCAAGTCAGCGAGCCTGACCACCCGATCCCGTAAGTCGCCTCTTACGACAAGCATAGTCGCCTTTTATGACAAGCATGAGTGGCTGAAGACATATTCTAACCCGGATCTTCACGGGTCACAAAGACATCTGAAAGGAATATACACATTTGGTGTTTTTTTTTTATGTGAACACGTTTATAGGGTCTAGCTAATGTAATGGGCTATATAGTCTCACAGCCTACACACTCCTTAAACACAAAATCTCCATAATCCAAGTGTTTAGAATTTAAACATGTTTTGTGTTGAAACAAGAATTTTAACACGTTTAAAAATGTTAACGACAAAATGCACATCATTGTGTATTACCCTCATTATCTAAGCGTGTTTAGAATTTTAACATGTTTAAGTAATTTGCATATGATTGGGCATTAAGTCAAGTATCGATAAGATGTACATGTATCAGGTAGTGAAATTAGATGTGCTAATCAGATTCACAGACACTTGCATAGCACATGTACCACCAGGCCTACTACGAACTTGGTACAATATTAACTTAGAAAAATATACAGATAAACCAAGGTAATGGGGACTAGGAACATTGATTTGTGTGATGACAGTTTCGATCCGTAGCGCAGGTGGTAGCGTGGAGGACCACAAATCAGGAGGTTGCAGGTTCGTACCGAGGTTTAAAAGGTCGTGTGTTCATTAAAGTGCCGTATGACTAATAGTGCTTCTCCCATACAGGAAACGGAAGCTGACAGTGAAAATACAACTGATTACTACGATAGACCCCCCCCCCACCCCCCACCCCCCGGCGTATCCACCCACCCACACCCACACCCACACCCACTTCTGTAATCTCATTAAATGCTAACAAAAATCCAGAAACCGCCCAGTTTAAATTACCACAATGAATTTCAAGGGGGTATACGGGCCTTTCAGCTTTTAGAACCTGTAAGTCTGTCTTACAGCCCATGATACAAATATATATCAAATACAGCCCATGCAAGTCTATAATGTTTGGCAAGTCTAGATTACTTCAGTATCAAGAGAGTCTCGGGTCTCCCTTTTATTATATTTTTATTAAGATAATTGAACAACTTTTTTTTTTCTTTACGATATGTTCATTTCAGAGACTAGATGTTAGTCTACCGTGACACACAATCCCGATCATACCAAAACACGGGGCAAGAATCGTTTGTATAGGTTTGTGTTTACGATCTATTTGTTACAGTGTGGTAACTTCATCGATTATGATAATGTGACCTTATAATATTCACGTTCAGGGGACAACATATAACCACACACCGCACCTACTATTCCCACACACATACCAACCCGAACTCTTATTACCGTTTCGCATTTATTTCAGGATTCAGACAGGTCCTGGTCCGTGAACATCCTGCTGTAAGTGCATTGACGCTGTGATTAACCCACTTCACGAGATACAGCTATTATTGTTTCACATCAGACACTTGTTCGAAACCTTTGATATTCTCACGCGAATGCAAATATTCAACATTGTCATTCATAGCTGTTACAATATAAGTTGTGTATATCGCGGAAATCGCTACTTGCGTAATGGAAGGTAATACTTTATGACATCCATTGCATGTGCGCATTGTCCAGCCCACAGCGCTCTCCGTCACATGTGATCACTCTTCTCCTATAAGGTAAGAAAAGTTTACTGCTGGCGTTCTTGTGTTTACTTATTCTCTGGTGTAGAGTAAGTCGTTGTCGAGATCGTTTAAGCATTTATTATTAGGCCAGTAGATGTAATATTGACTTTTGAATTTCAGTGATTTCTCCCCTAATTATGTTTAGCTCCTAAGCGCGTTCTTTGACCCCTAATTTTGACCCGTTTAGAGTCTAAACATGTTTGAGATTGTATATTTCACGCGTGTGTGTGTGTGTGTGCGTGCGTGCGTGCGTGCGTGCGTGCGTGTGTGTGTGTGTGTGTGTGTGTGTGTTTATCGTAGTAACCAGAAATGTCACAAACACATTTAGGAACACAAAACTTTAATAACCTCGGTGAGATACGAACCTGCAACCTCTTGATTTTGAAGTCCTTTTCGCAACCACCCGTGCTATGGAAG